ATGGAAAATATGACAAAAGTTTTAAAACAAATTGAAACAATTTCACTAAGTTGGTGTTCTAGGTTATTTCCTCAGATTCCTTCACATGTAATATTTCAAATTTGGTACAAAATGTTTGGAAATAAACAAAAAGATTAATTGTTCCTAAACACCACAATAATGCTTCCATAAAAGACGGCGTTGAGCATAAATTCTCCTTTTGTAAACGCGTGCAATTTATTGAACTACGCATATCAGGGATCAGCGCATATATCTGCAAGGCCAGTGCAGGATAAAAATTGTAAACTGTGTGCTGGTGCATTCGAGGCATACGTTATTCAACATACTGCGGTTTGGGAAAATAAAAAGTCCGATGTTTTACTAACTTCAACCCTCTCTTGATACGCTTTCAATAGAACCCCTCCACGTAATCACGAAGCAATGCAAATTTTCTTTCTCTATATTGCATAATTAGAGGCAAGAAAGAAGCGTAACTTTAAGAAAGAGGCGTCTGTCAGGGAACCAGAAAACCTGGATGAATAACACCTACCCCATCTCTAAACTGATTTTCCGATACACCGCACACGGTCATGTCAGGAAACTGTATTCCGAGCGACTCACTTCGAGAATACAGACATTAAATACTTCAATCATGGCAAGTGTTTGAGGAGCTATTGTGCAGCTTAGACGCCGATAAAGTAGCCACCCACGCTCAGACACTGCCATGTTGACTTCGAAACTGCTGCGCGTGCTCACGCACAGCAGTAGGGCTTCCACAACCCTCGTCCACTTTAAAGAAATTCACTCGATTCGTAAAGCGTATACATGGGAAATAATAGAGCTTTTGAGCCTAGGTGATCTCACATTGGCAATTACTAGGGGCTTGCGTATGACTAGCTTAGAATAATGCTGGCTTCTGGACTACAAAGCGGGTTAACGAGAGTAAACTGCCTGCGCATTTAGCTTTACACCTTGCCACCGCAAACTTTCTCAGCAAGCAGTTACTCAGGCAAAGCCAATTTTTTTCACCTATTAGTTAAATTCCACTACTCCAACATAATGAAGAAAAAGGAAATTCTCGAACCATTTGAGCGAAGCTTTACCACAAAATTGACCTACACAGGATTGTCGATTACATTTAACGTTTGACTGATCGTAAAACTTTCCCTCGTGCATTCGACGCTAATCGAATAGGTTCTTTTTTACCCCTATTCCTAGCATCTACAAAGTTTTTTGCCCGAAAATTTATTGGCATTCCATCTTGTTAAAATATTAATAAAATTAAAACAATTCTGTAAAAACATCTCAGGCTAGCCAAGGTCCTCGCAACTAATACATTACCTAGAAATTTGGAATATTAGTCAATAATTGAAAACCAAATGTCAAAATAAAGAGAAGTTTCGACAAAAACTGAGGTCGATGTCATACTCATTAAAGGACTTATAGATGATTAGATTGCTATAATTTTTGAGGAAAATACAGGATAACATGCTAAGAGAGTTTAATAAATGATCGTAAGTCTTCCAATAAGTGCCAATCTGTCTGTTTTGAAAGAAAAGTAAGTTAAAGTTGAGTTACCGTTAGAAGAAGTGCTTTAAACCTGGTGCTTACAAAACCTAAAATACTACTTTTACACGTTGCCTTCCTTCAGGCTTAATGTTCCCTTTTAAAATGAACATTCTAGGTAGTATCTATTTAAATTTCGCATTTTGTCATAATTTTGGATGCCACAGTGATTAAATTATACTATTTTAAAAAGGTTATGTTTACAAACAAATTTTTCTTAGTCACAGCCTTCTTTATTCTGAGTGAAAATCCCAAGTTAGCATTACTTTTGCACCAACCCGTACGATTCTTTAAATATTTGAGTATGTGCATAGGCAAAGTTTAAATTTGAAAAAAAAACGCACACAACAAATAATAAACTTCTACTTCCCAATATTTTTGCAATGACCCACTTAAGTGAAATGCTTGATTTGGAGGTCGTTTAAAACCGTTGAGCAGCGCTTATAGCTCGTTAGACGAAAAATGCATGATCACAATAACTATTTATTTGCATAAGCTTGCAAGAAGAAGGAGAAGTAAGAGGAAATTACTATATAAAACAAAGACAACACGCAATGTCAGAAATACCAGATTGATTCTAAGTGGCGAGAACGGTTCCTATCGAAATAAGGACTTTCGGGAACAGGAGGAAAAACAGATGAACTGGTCCACTTAGCTGCAGAAAATTTAAGGGGGTTTTCATTGAGTTCGGCCACACTAACAAACCCCTAAATAAAGAAATTCACGAGGATTATATGTAAAGTGATAGGCGGGGAATTTCACTGATTTCTGGTATAGAGCGCCGCGAACTCATTCGCACCAGGTCAACAACATCAATATCGTGCTGGGTACGAGTTTGCCAACAACTGCGCAAACACCTACCTGTGTATCTGATCTTGCACAAAGGCCCGAAATCGTATGCTCAGATTACAAATTACTAAAAATACCCGTCCTGGGGCGCTTTTAGCTCAAATGCATTGACTACTATGCGAATGACATGTTTATTTTAGAAAAAAAGTGTGGTTGCACTGATTTTGTGCCTAACAAATGCCAAAAGAGATCAACCTCAACTTGAAAAGCTATCAATTTAATGCATCAATAGGCACTAAGCGACTTTCGACTCCGTAAGAGGATAAAAAATGATCCTAGACTCACCAATTGTACCCCATTACTAGACCAGTGTACACAATCCTATTGAATTCCCCATTTCGACAACATTAACTTACTTTCGGATAGGAGCCCATTTTGTTTAAGATCCGAAATACTTCTCACCGTGAACAGCGGCATCGACTGAACAGAAAATTGTTGAATCCATTAAAGTACTATTTTGCGAATAAAAGTATAAACCAATAGCTAATAATTTTGAGGCTGCCAAAACAATGCATGCGGTCAGAGTTAAAGCATTATTGCTATGCAAACTGATAAAGCAAATTGAAATTAATGGCTAAGAATAATCAAATGGTGTAACATACTTTATTTTTATCAAGTGAATGCCTTCTGTGATGTAACTGGTAGCATTTCATAAAGGCTCTGGCAAATGATATCGAACAAACAAGTTTAGGTCGAGGTACGAAACAAATAAATTGCAATTTCAAATTCTTAACCACAAACAGAGGAAGGATAAATCACTTATATGAAACCATGGTGACCACGGCAGTAAAATTTTATCAAAAGATTAAATACGTACAGCATGCACCAAAATATGAAAACTTCTTAAACCAAGCATTAAGAAAGCAGGAATGCAGCCTCTGATTTGAATTTCTAAAGGCTAACGCGTAGGTAAGAAGTAGGAAAATCATACTGTTTAAAATATTTTTCTCCTAAATTCTTGGTTTATAACTTCCCTTAAAGAGCATATGTTGGTTTCCTATTTGGACATTACTAAAGCGGATTAACTTCGATTCAGTTATACTTTACGGGTAAATCATCTTAGTCATACTGACAAACCATCAAGTATTTATGTGAATAATGCAATAAATTTACAGAAACAAGTTCAAATGGCGAAAATAGTTGTGGTGTCAACTTTCAGCTATGTTGATCTGATTGATATTTTGCAATGGAACTGTGAAATAAACTTAATTCTAATCAAAAGTTTAAAATTATGGCAAACCATCGCGCTGTATATATGCTCCCATATGAGCACACTTATCCATTTACGCATACAAGCCATCACAATGGGCTTTTAAACCACTTTCAAACTAACTTGTTGGCAAAGATTTCACCTTTCCCAATATGGACCTGTTCGTCCTCACTTCCTGAAGTTTCATTGAGAGGACAATTTATACAATGGCCTCTGGAAATGACCCTAAAGTGTAAGAATTACAAAACATTTCATATAAAAGAATCCGTTTTAAGAATACGGGCAACAAACGATAGATAATTCCATATTGAGTTGAGAGTTTACGGTTTCGTGTTTGCAACACGTTAGAGGACAATTGTTTGTAGGAAATCTTGATTAGATGATTAAGCACAATACAGCAAAATATGAACATATACATTGAGCCGTGCCAATGTACTAGTTGTGGTGACTCATGAGTTCGCGACCGTCACCACGGTTCGCACATGACTGGCCACCGGGTTTACTTAGCCCCGGTTACCCCACTGATCCACTTGACCCCGATGCCCACTAATCACTCCCTCCGATTTCCCTCATGAACGGTCTCACAGTGTATTTGTGCAACCAAACGTCCCGGGAGCCCACCGGCCACCCACACAAGCATGTTTTGACACACAGATTCAACGGCCCAATAAAAGACTGAGCCTCAGTCACCTTCTGGCTTCTTATTCTGCTCTCGTTACATGGCGTCAGATCGGGCTTCAACAGCAATAATAAAATCAGTTGCCTTCGTGTGGGTGTGAGATTTGCATTGGCCATGTCAACATACTGAAGAGGTCATGGGAGTGGACTGGTAAATAACGTAGAATTTAGCTTAAGTGATCCCTCTAGCCGAATATTACAATCAAAAAATGGGTTAAAAGGCATATTCGCTACCGCTCAACTGGCTACAAATTGGCGATAAATATTCAAAGCCACGCAAAAGTTTTCATTATTTGGAGTTGCTTCTTCTCTCTTCAAAAGCTAACTGACACCAAAGGTTACCAAATAAAGAGACTTGATGTCATCACAAACCAAATTTCTTGTTGCTTTTAACTAGTTATCCTTTTGAAAGAGGAATAAGTTTCACGAATATTTGAATTCAAAAGCGGTGAGAAACTTATTCCAAGTTAACAGCCTTGGAGCTTAAAAATGTGGCCATAGCAAAAACGAATGCATAAACCGTATCATTTTTAAAGGCTTGTCGCAGCGCTCTCGGGCAGTTAAATAATTTTGAATAAAAATAATTTACCGGTTAAACATCACATGCTAAAACACTGCTTAAAACGAAGCTACGTTTAAAATTACTGAAAGTTATCAACAGGGTCGATTTAGATAGACAGTTTCTTGAATTGGTTTGTTTGAATCCGTAACGGAAAACTTACGCGGGGGAAAAACACCGCTTGTTCACGCCTTTCGACTGGCCTCTGCTGGGCGGAGGTTGGACGGGCGACATAACGGTAAGTGGCCTGTGCCTGACAGCGGAATTGTATAAGCTCGTGATTTTTCAACAACAAATATGATTAGCAAATTGCTTGAAAGATTAGTAAAATAAATATTAGCAAGCAAGCTCAGGTGTATTTGACATGAAGTTCACTTTTCCCTACAAAGAAACGATTCTGAGCTAATCGATTTTTATGATGTAACTATAAGAAACGGCAAGCCTTTTTGTACTCCCCTTAATCGGCAAAAATCTCGGTGGCAGGGAATAAAATCACATGGTCATGTACAATAATAACGTACGGAAATTTTTTTATGCTAATAAAACTGACCACAGACGAGGTATATATCGGATTTTTCAAATAAAGGCAAAAATATTGTGAAGATAAAATTATGCCGGTAAATTTTGACTTAATTTCACTGTCATGTTAATGGTCGTTAGGACAGTCCTGTTATGCCATCTTACCTGCTCTGAGATTTTGGTCTCTTTTGGACATAACCGCCCACTGAGTTGCGCCTGAAATCGACAAAACGACGGTGCATTTTGCGTTGAAACACGCCTGCCTTGGTTTAAGCCTACCACAAGACCTTGCCATTAAGGGGTTGCCTAAATCCACTTTATGAGCTCACTGTACACCAACGCCAACCTGCGCCTCATACTGTTAGCATGATTCACTTCAAAGTACTCATGCCAAACTTTCAATATTTTTAATTGGTAAAACCCAGTGTGGAGGCAAGGTATTGTCCAGGAAGAGTTGTCATAACTTGATGCAAATCCTGTACCAAATTAGTTCAGTGCACTTCCAGTTCACTAGGGGATAACTAAATAAAACCTTTAAAATGCAGCAAAAAAAATAATAATAATTTAACAAACGATGTTCAGATTATTAAAAGTTTCCTTTCCTACTTTTACACAAATCAAATGTGAACGGTAAAAATTGGAACAGTCAAATGAGAAAATGCACCCACGCACCTTATAAGAGGTCTTCCTTTTTCCAAGTCCTTTTGGCATTTCTTGCACACGTGTCGTAGCACCACACTTGACTGACAGTTGTCCCTTAAAGAAGAGAAGTGAATTATCATGGGAATCTTTCAATGCCACTTAGTTCTGATTAGTGCAGTACACAGTTAGGTAGCTTGAAAATATCAAAAGAACGCACAATGAAAAGAAACGTCGCATAAATGAGAAAACCCTTAGACACCACTGAACTTCCAACTAAGTCTTTCTCACCGTTAGCTCAACCAAAACACAGCAAAACAAACATTTGATGCCACTCAATCACTTACTCGTTCGAAGCATGACCGCTCTCACTGAAAGCAAATATGACAAGCCCAGCAAGGGCTATGATATATTGTCAAAATAAAGAGTTTTAATTAATTATGCCGATAGTTAAGCCACAGCCCTGACGGATTGACAATTTTAATTGGATGCTTGCATTCTCATTGAAAGAACTGCTGGTACATCCTTAAATGAAGTATCTTGTATTTCAGAATTGAAAAATGTCGAAGTCGAAATTTCGATGTGGATCAAAACACGCAGCAGAATGACACAATATACTCAGGCTTTTAAAACTTACATATGAGGGCATGTTTCAAATTCAGGTTCGCAGTTCTCCACCACAATCTTTCCCACTGGAGAGAAGCGCCTAAAAAAGGTATGCAATGACATCCGTTCCATTTTCACTCGTAGAAAGAATGATAAGCAAATAAACTCATTATTTCTTGGAAAATATAGAAGAAGTAATCCCTGCTCTAACAGCTCATAGACTGAATAAGCATCTGTACGCTTTTAGAAATTTCTGAATTCCATGTATCTATCTCGAATTTTCTGTTGTATTAGATTCACAAAATTATAAATTCGACTATTATAATCGTGCTGTCCTAGAGGTGGCTGAATGTGATCAGAGGTCGAAAAATACATGTCTCCGATAATTTTGAAATTGGGAGGAATCGTTGTTAAAAGCATTTATTTTTTAAAAATTTTAGTGGAATTAAAGCTATGATGGCAACATATAGTTTTATTTGATCACCATGTCACAGTTACCAACATCAGTTATGTCTGAGTGGATTACAAACCACTAATTGACGAAAGTGGCTTTTAAACCACCATTATATTTCTCCAGTTCGTTTATCATGTAGATGGAACTGGTAATGCAGAGGTTTGAAAACGTTCGACACGTACGGCAAACAAGCATGTTGGGCTAAAAAATGCTCTACCGATTGGCCTTCGCAAAACTCACCGCCTCTGTTGGTGAGGCTCGAAGCCATGGCGATGGCAGTGGGGCTGCTTATGACAATGCATCTGCGAAATTTCGACGTTCCTACCGCTGCCCTCAATGCTCCTCATGACCCTACATTGGAGTGTAGATTTGCATAAAACGAAGGTTTTAAAATAAGTGTTTACCTTTTGGTGTGTCAGCCCTGCTCAAATCGGCTCTTACAATTCAACCTAAATAATGCCAAATTTTGCTGGCTTCGGGCTGATGCATAAGCTCCCACAGTTAAAATTGCTAAAACGAAACCTAATCCATGATGTTGGAAAACATATTTTCTGACTCATTTTTACAGAGAACGTTAGAAGCTTGGAAAGTATATGACGCGTAAGCGATAAATCTAGAATCAAAAATTAGACATGAACATTCTCGGAACCGAAATTTTAGAAATAATTTTTAGGAAACCACAATTAGTACTTTCCCCATTGCTTACGACCAAAGCCAAAATTCATGCAAGGAGGTGTCATTCCAATTTCAAATTCCAAAATTTTAGTTCGCTTCTTATCACTCTTACTTTAATAAAGCGCATGAATACAGGATCAGTCTCTTTGTCAAAACAGACGGAAATGTTTCTTGGGGTTAAACCAGGGTTACATTAACTTCTTAAAAGTGCAAATTTTGTTACAGGGCTGATTGCCATGTCCAGGAATTTGAGATCCATATTCAGCAAATGTGCATAAAAAAATTGGACAATTTGATATGTCCACGTTCACTGGAAGGATTACGTTTGCTGTTCCCTCTTGCTAACAGAATTGTGTGATGCGTAGCTGGTTGGCTTTTAGTCAACTGCATTTAACTGGCACACGCTTCTCCACCTGGCAAAAGAGACAGTTTTTTAGCACCTCAGGTGATTTGTCCAGCGCGGTCAATTAATGTGTTTTTTGGGGTCCCAATTTTGACGGTTTTCAGTATTTAGCCAAAAAATAATGATACCTGCACGTTATTGCTTGCTCCATCCCTGCACACAGACACATTTACAAAAGATAAATCTCTGGTCTCCAGGGCTGACCTTGATGCTTGTTTTAACAAATTGACTGGTTGTAGCTTTCACACATTTTTTCATCCAGACTAATAAAACTCAACAGAAGTGTGGAAGGAGAGCAACACCTCCTTGCACTGGCTTTGATACACCCAATTACGGCTCCATTTCAGCCGAATCTTTCAAAAAGCATTTATTCAAAAGAGTGGCTCAAATTTTCAAGTTGCACTCTCATGAAGATGCACTATAATTTTTCAGTAGCTGCCAATGAGTAAAACCGATTCTAAGGGAATTAACCAGATGACAAGTGCCACATCAACTGTCATTAATAAAACCACATGAACTTAGACATACTTCTTCCTTGGCATGGTCTCGAAAACGAGGGGCTCGATTTTTATGAGCGTGGTCGGACTTCTGTGCTTCTGCGTTTTTCGCCTAGCTGAAGAGGAACTGGAACTACTGGAGCTGGTGGAGCTTGTTGAACTGCTTGAACTCGAACTTCTGGAATTTCCTCTGCCACTAGTTGAGCTGCTATGGTAAATTTATAAACACCAAATCAATAACGGATGGATAAAAAAGGACTTAATGCGTTCAATATCACTGAACTGTAATACCTACGCATGCGCGAAGTCACTTACTCCTCCTGCTATGTTGACTAAGGTCTATAATGTTAGTGGCGTCTTTCAATATGCAAGGCTACTTTGCTTCATTATATACACTGGAACGATTATGACAGAAATCTCATTCCGTCATGTTGACATTTAGGCGAAATGTCAAATTTGCAATCTAAATTAGTTTAAATTTAAATTTAAAAAAAGCAACCATTTTTCGTCCATAAGGTTTGCCTGCTAAACTCATGAGACACATGAAAACAGATAGTACTTTGATGGAGCTAAGGCTCAAACTCAGACATTTCCATGTACTGACTTTAGCAAGAAACATCTGATCATCTATCCACGTTGACATAGCAAAGAATACTACGTGAAAAATTTTCGAATCATTTCGATTTTTGCCGGATTAGCTCAGTAGGATTGGCTTTACCTTGAACTATAGGAATCGGCTCTTGATGGGCGACTCATCTTGTCTTCATCATCTGGCTTCATAATGATCCTTAATTAGGAGAAACAGCATACAATCATCATGTTAACTTGATAATAACTGAGACAGTATTGGATTTTCCAATGATAAGACTGAATTATCTCATGAGCCTTCGTAAACTTGCAACCTTCTCCAGTGAACACGATGTTCATTACATGGTGAAGCAGGTCCACTACCTTCATCTCCAGCTCTACGTTTTATGCTAACATTTTGTATAATAAAGAGAGTTTTATGTAATGCAAGTTAGCAGGTAAGGTTTTGTGTGCTCCCAAAAGGGAGCACAGCTATCAAAATGAAAATATGGCTGTGAGTTCTGTCCGATTGTAAAATAGGACATGCTCCAATATCGCAGTGGATGAGAGCGATGAACAGAATTTAGGTCACCACAGAAATGAAGTCATTATTTATTTTTTGGCAATTCTATCTCCTTTTGATGCGAATAAAAGCAAAAAAAACATACAAAGATGGTAAAAAGTTAGCAATTTAATTGCAATAGGAAGATAACTTGATGAAGTAGGGGTATGAGCTTACGTAAACTGAGCCGATTCAGAGCGAGATTTTGGACGACTGCGATCGTGAACAACATAGACTGGCTTCGAATGCCTACAGTGGATTATGAAAGAGTTAGAGTGCGTGTTAGGGTAAAAAAACTGGCAACTGATCGGTGGCACATTCAAGCTAGCAACACGCTTAAGTATGCGGTACTAATTCGAAAGAAAATTTTAAATCTAATTAAGTGGTGCACTTCTTGCGCGATAGATTTCGAAGACTGTGTAATTTCAGCTGGTATTAGGCATATATTTTCTTTATATTAACGCAAACTGTACAATTATTCAAGGCATTGAACTTTTTCTCCTAAATTTGTGTCTGCGGCAGGTGGTCCAATTCCACATCCCTCAATTATAGCATTTCAACTATAGCACTTACACTGACGCCCCAACACATTTATAAGAGCATGTCCAGTGAGTTTCTTTAATCATACAAACTTAAAATTAACCACGCTGGTTTTCTCGTAGCCTTCTAACCACGGTGACTCCCACGTTAGCGGAGATGTAAATGTGAAACTGGCAGACACGTGATGGGATGCACAGTCGCAGCGAGCGCTCGGGCACCACCCGGAGTGACTCACCTGCGGCTCCGATGACTGGCTACCACGGGAACGCGCGCATCAAGGATGGTGCTGGTGGAGGAGTCCGAAGTCGTTGACAAGCGGCGGGTTGGGCTAGGTGATTATGGAAGCAATAGGCAAATGACTTTACAGTTGCATTTCTTCTGAACAGTTAAAACTCCCAACTGAAACTTTCCCGAAAGCAGACCACTTCGACTAAAATCACGTGTGGCTTGAAAGTCAAACATGTCCCGTGGAAAAAACGGGCAACACGAAGCACCGTGCAATAAATTAAAGTTAAATACGAAAAGAAAAATACGAGAGTGTTTGATACGTGGTGAATAAATAAGAGTACAACTAATTCAACAGATTCCCTTTATAGACACCGTCCTATGTATAAATAAATTTGCTGAAATAGCTACAGAACTAACAGACTGACTGTGAGTGGTGTTTAAAGCTGTAAGTATTTGCTTTAGTGAATGGCGTACCTTAAAGTTGATGGCATTTTTACAAAATCGTTTGTGTTGAATACCTATATTGGATAAAGCAAATTCTATTGCTTACCCTCTGTGTTCAGGGTAGTCGGATGGAATTTCTATCATCGACTCCTCCGGACTAAACATCTTTCTAACAAAAAAATCCCACGTTTACTTTTTTAAGTCGAATTAATTTTGAAGACTAACAGGGAGTGTGTGAAAAAAGCATTCAGTTAAAGTACCGCTGTTAAGTAAATATTAAGTTACAGTTACTATAAAACGGAATTTAGAAACACTCAGAACGGAAATGAAGCGAGGCAGATGGAATATAGGTGTGGGATTCAGTCACAAACAAACCCAAGGGACCTGATTGGTGTTTGCCCATCTGCTTTCCGAGTTAATGGGATTTGAACAATAAGGCAGGCTGAGATTAACACCTAAATATCAGCTTTGATTGGACACTTCTAGTTAGTGGCAACTATTTTATTAAATGCGACGAACCTAAAGCGATTCAGCGTACCAGCAATTTAAAAAAGATTACACAGATTGATACTAAAAGTGTTACGTTAATACTGGATTGTCGTACTCGATGGGCGAATTAGAGTGATGCGAAGCAGTTAGCGACTCAACACAAAGCCTCTTTTTCCTTACGCTTCGAAAGGAGATGTTGCCGAGCTCATGTGCACACGTTCGTTGCCTTGCTGGAATACGTAACTAAATTTTCGTCCCTTTTGCCTGTTTGGTAACAAAAAGAAGACGAAGACATCTATGATAGACAGGAAACAGCCAACAGTGGTAACCAACGACGAGTTCCAACGTGAATGACACCAAAAACTGGAAACTAGATTTCTCTGAATTCAAAAGAACGTCATCGGCAGATGGCTTTGTGAATTATGACTGGATCGGACTAAAACTATCTTTGATTTTCTCATAAAGAGTTTCTCTGATGGAAACCCATTGTACTTATTGTCATTCTGCCGTATTTTTACCCATTATAGTCAATTTACCCTTCTTTTTGTTCCAAGGTTCCGAAAAAAACTGAAATTCAAAAACGGAACAAACACACCAAAAGAACTTGGATAATACTTGGGCGCCTCAGAACAGGGAACTTTAAACGCTATTTCCAGAAGTGTGACTTGGCCAGAGGCATGACGTTCACTCTCACGTAAAGATCGGATCTAATTTGGATATATTAAAAAGTGTTGAAATTTATACCCAGGGTTGCACTTGGTGTTGACGATATTTCTGAAGCCAAAAACACATTAATTAACCGAAGGTCAATCACACGACAGTTCCATATCCTTTGCATGCATTTGGAACTCATTACATGTAATCAGTCACCATAAAATCATCGAAAGAAAGTATTCCCGGATTGTGACAATCAAAACCCTTGGGTTATTGACGGTTAGAGGGCAATAGTAAGTTTGATGGTTTTCGTAGAAACTCTTAATTATCGAAGCGCCCTAATTTTCACCTGTTAACATAAGCAGTTAGGAGCGAAAGAAACGTTTTGGATTATGCACCCAAAAAATAAATAAAATTTAATAAAATAGAACGTTAGCATTCGGGTGGCCAACTAAATTGCTTGTGCGAACTAAACTTTATAGTTTAAAGGACGTTTGCAAAGGGAGCCAGTTTTACAAGAATGGTGGACCTACCCTGTTTGAATAACGTGAGAATGGTTCCTTTTGTGAGGCGTTGATTTCGGCATTTTCGTTCCAGAGATGGTCTTCGAAGTGACTATATTCGATCTAATAAGCGTAGCCACATAAGCACGTTATTGTTCACATTATAAAACATTCTCTTTTAGCACAGTATACTTACGCCGAATCAGGCGTTTAACTAGCCTGCAGGGCTGGACACACTGCCTTGAAAACCCAGCCAAAATCAAATACCACCAGAGTGCTCGCAGGCACAAATGTCAACAATCTCACGTTAAGTCCCTAATAATCTGTTGTCTAAATGGCTGAACAAGTTGAAGCGGAGTTTAGAGCACTAGGTCTTTACCAGATAAGTGGGGCTCTTGAGTAAGTTTGTATAAAGTTTATTCGAAAAACACCGATATCCTCTTTGTGGCCCTCTTTATTTTTAAAGGGCCTATAAACTAACTAAACTATATGCTGTTGAGTGTGATTCAAATTAAAACACCTAGCCATGGATTAGGCGCTATTATAAATTTGATGTTTCACTGATTTTAATAGGATAACAATGCCAATGATGTCATTTAAATTGTATGTCCTAGTGCATTGGATATTGGCAAATGCCAGCGTTGATTTGAAAAAGTTTCGAGAGCTGGATTTGGTCTATGTGGTAGGTGAAATGCTAGGGAATTATGGGGTTGCTAAAAATGAAGGTGATTCCAGAAAAGCCATTTAAAACATTACTGTCCTTGGTACAAAGGTATTTTAAACCCTTGAACACTGCGCAAGGAGAATGCCGAGCACAACCATCAGTAATGGCTATTTGTCTACTACAGAAAGGGACCCACTTTTCCATATAAAATGCCAATTTTAAACGAGGGATGGATTACTCCTGGCTATCCACGCACGCAAAAATTATGTTTAACACTACAATACTAATACCATCTCAGACTGATAGATTGGGTATCTCTTTGCTTCCACAGTCGAAATGGTTTCGCAATTAAGCATGGTGACACGACTTAAATTTGTCAGAATCACTCAAGAATGGTTAAGGATCTACAAAGGAACGTCACGTCTGGTCCATCATTTTTTTTCAAATGTACCTTTGTCAAAATCTCACGTTTCTCAATCAGTGGAGCACTTTGACTAGGGGAAAAAACTTCAGGACGGAGCGGTCATAAAACTATGTTTTGGAGGATACCTTACCTTAAAACTACTTTCAATGTGCGACAATTGGACGTTTGATAAATGAATGAAAACGCACTTAGAACCGTAAAGGGGCTGATTCTTAGGTCAATTGCATAACATGCTAAATAGAAGAACAGACATCGAAATATAACACTATTTAATAGTGTATCTTACCACAGCCCTAACTCAACGTCACCACATACTAAACATATTTCTTAAATTTACAGATTATTCTGCTCAAACTTCCAAGTGAACGAAAAATGAATGAATTCCCTTGGCGATCGATTCGTTCTTCAAACATCTATCGTGTTAGTATATCAATTTTGCTAAAGCATTTGAATCAAAACATCGCATGCAATGCCGCAGAATGAACGATTTGTACTCAAACCACATGCACAATGAAAATATGTAGACATGTGATTATTATGAAGTGCATGAATGCATATATTAGGTGAAATGCTGAAAACCTGCACTGGCAGAAAAAATGCATGTTAGCCCCGTGAACTGCGTTCTGTCCCCTTCGACGAATTCGTTAATCTTATATTATTTTGAAAGACCGATATTCGATGAGCCTGAGTTGCGTCGTTAATATTTATTCCGATCAAAGCTTTCAGTTGGTAAGGTTCGAAGTCAAGTTAAAATACCTCAATTGTATAAAAAATTCTATTATATCATCCAGTCGTAAAGGTAACAAAAATGAAGATGTTGATCAAATTTATTTACGACTTAATGTAACTGTTCGAAGATAGTGAAGATCATTTTGCATCTAGTGCTAGTAATACAACTTTAAACTAGAAGCAATGAGGACAATTAACATAACTATAGAAATTCAATGCCAAGTTTAGGTTTTAATTTTTAAAAATTATAGAGATTACGGCAGTGAAAAAATAAATGTGAACATCGGTGGAAAGAGTTGACACTGTCTTTCACGGACTTCATCTGAACCTCTCAAAAAAATAGGGTTTTGAATTTCGCCATTGCCGTTCTCATAATTTGAAAAAACGCAGGATCCTGATCGAGAGTCATTTACACTGACCGTAATTTAGAGGCAAAATCAAAACATTAAACGACTAATCTCGCTTACAAAAAGCTTCCCACAATTTCCTTAAAACATTTCAGTTGAGTAAATAAAATTGGCATTAACATGAACATTTGGTAAAGTGGTAGCTTGGTCAGATTCGTTAATACTGATCATGAGGACTATGATACCAAACAACAGGCCTCTTAAGAAAATAATTTGTGATGACAGAAAAGGAGCAGAGTGAGTTGTAGTAGTACGTTAAAGAGACGACTTGCCTGAGTGATTGGCTGCAACAACTTGTGAAATGTGAAAGAAAATTTCACATTGATCATTTTAATCATCAGTGTGAAAATTTTGCATTTCCTAACGCCCCTTCTAATTGGCTGCAACAAGCCCACTGACTCACACAAACTCTTTCATGAAACCTTCCAGATTTCCCGCACATTACATTAATATAATTAAGTGCACTGTTCCTCACTGAATTCTCTAGCGTTAAATTAAATAAGAGAATAGTGTCTAGGAATTCTTACGGATTGATGAGAGTCACTAATTACTAGTTCGGATAATCCACCCGGTGACATTGTTTAGTGAAGTTAGCAAGTTGATGAAAATTCACTCAAGCGTTGCCGCCAGACAATCAAACATACTTCTTAGCGTACGTACGCGAATGCCCACAAAATCAGCCTTTGCACCTTTAATTACTTTTGGCAGCCACAAATTAACTTCAAAACTTAACAGACCCCCCTTTCGTGTCAAGCCTACAATATTGAAGCTGTTGTGATTCGCTAGACACCCTTTTCAACTCGAGATATACTCTTAACTCTTGAATTTATTTTGGAGGTCTAGAAGCTATCATTTTTATAATAACCTGTTGTACCTGTTGTGGATGGTCACCTGAGTCTCATGCGTGGAGCTCGTACAAAAAAGTTTGCCCCAAGCCAGGCGGTAGGTGACTCACCCCTACCCCTAATTGATTTTCGCAATCCAATCGTCGCCTTGCTCACCAATGCTCTTTAGAAGACAACCACGTCGACACACGCACGCTCACGCAGTAGGCGGTCGCGTCTACCGTCACCTCCTCGCCTCTCTCGGTCACTAAATTTGCGAGTCGTGTTGGGCACAATATATCGCTGTAGCAATAAAGGAGCGGTATTCTTCCAAAGATGAATAAGGCTACTCCGTGTCACCCTTAATTGACAATCGAAATAAATGTGCAAATCTTGTTGCTAAAAATTATATCCGAGCCCCTCCAGGGTAATTTTTGGAGTTTTTCAAAATTCACCAATCGCTTTTGCCCA